GTTATCAAGAAAGGGTGTTGGATTATGTCAAATTCTTTTTCTGCATCAACTGATATGACTATGTGATTTTTATCTCTCAATTTGTTTATGTGATGTATTATGTTTATGTTTATTGATTTGCAGATATTGTACCATCCTTGCATTCCTGGGATAAATCCAATTTGGTCATGGTGTATGATCTTTCTGATGTACTGCTGGATCTGATTTGCTAGGATTTTGTTGAGGATTTTGGCATCTATGTTCATGAGGGATATTGGCCTGTAATTCTCTTTCATTGTGTTGTCTTTCCCTGGTTTTGGTATTAGGGTGATGCTGGCTTCATAGAATGAGGTTGGAAGTGTTCCTTCCTCAAATTTTTTGTAATAGTCTGTGGAGGATAGGTTTTAGTTCTTCCTTGAATGTTTGGTAAAACTCCCCTGTGAAGCCGTCTGGTCCTGGGCTTTTGTTTGCTGGAAGCTTTTTGATGTCTACTTCAATTTCTTCCATAGTTATTGGCCTATTGAGATTATTGGATTCTTCCTGATTGAGTTTTGGAATGTTGTATTTTTCTAGGAATTTGTCCATTTCCTCCAAGTTGTCTAGTTTGTTGGAGTAGAGCTGTCCATAGTATTTTTTTAACAATCATTTGTATTTCTGTGGGGTCTGTTGTTATTTCGCCTCTATCGTTTCTGATTTTGTTTATTTGGGTCCTCTCTCTTTGCTTCTTGGTGAGCCTGGAGCATATTACGCTTTGATTGGTTGGCCAACTGGATGACTGGATACTTAGCATATTAGGCTTTAATTATATGGGATACCACAAGTTGCCCTACCTGGTTTGCCTCAGTGGATAGAGCATTGATCCGCGAACTAAAAGGTCCCAATTTAATTCTGGTCAAGGGCACATCCCTCATACCTCAGTTGCAGGCTTGATACCCATCTGATCATGGCACATGCGAGAGTCAACCAATTGATGTCTCTCTCCCACATCGATGTTTCTCTCTCTCTGTCTCTCCCTCTCATTTCCACTCTCTCTCTAAAAAAAAAAAAATCAATGGGAAAATATCCTTGGGTGAGGATTAACAAAAACAAAAAATACTGCATGTTATTTGGAGTTGTTTTGTTTGGTTTTTGATGAGTCAACATAAGTTATTGAGACTGTTCAGCTGTTTTTATTTATTCTGGGCATCAATACCAAGTCTGAAGTAAGTGAAAAAACTAGGCTCTTTGAAAAGGCTGCATAAAACAACTAGAGTTAAGAATATTTTCAAAGAAGTTGCTAAAACACTAATTCAGTATAACTTGAAGTGAAATCTGCTACAATTAATGGAATAAAAATATGTGTAGAACAAAAATGAGCTTAGCAAATTTACAAAGGTAATGAAAATGTACGGTGTTTAACACCTAAGGTTACTCATTGTATTATTCATAAGCAGGTCTTCTAGAGCCAATATTTGAATCTACCATGTGTTACTGAACCAGTAATTCAATGGTAAACTTCATTTGTCTCCTGGATTTAGCCATCAGTTCAATGGCTTGATAGTAATTTTATTGTGATTTTTTTTAGCTTAGGGATGATAATGAATTTTTCTGAATGAAAAGAACTGCCTTCAATTGCTAATATAAACACTAAGTGCCTTTGTCCTTTAGCTTTTGCTGTGAACTTGATAATGTTAATGTTTCTTAGTGAATTCCACCTAATATTACAAGGCAAAACAGTACTTACATGAGAAACTGATACTGTAGTAATGTCATTTTGACAACTAGCATTACTGTGATCACATATATAAAGTCATGCCTTCAAAAGTTGAAAACTTAAGCGAGCCCTGGGTGGAATAGTTCAGTTGGTTGAACATCGTCCCTTGTACTGAAAGGTCACCAGTTTGATTCCTGGTCAGGGAACATGCCCAGGTTGTTCGTTCAGCCCCAGTCAGGGTGTGTAGGGGATGTATCTGATCCATGTTTCTCACATCGATGTTTCTCTCTCTCATTCTCTCCCTCCTCTTTTCTCTTACTCTCCCTCTCCCTTCCTCTCTGAAATCAATAAAAGTATATATTTTATATAAAAAAAAGAATCAATAGTCAACACTCATTTGTTACAGTCTGTTCTCTGTGGCCACAAAGAAGGAGTCTAATCTTCCTTCCCCACAGCACTCTGTGTTGGCCAGAATCTTAAAGGATCCCCATGATGCCCGATCCCTGATGCTCCTACCCTTCCTTGAGCATGGGCAAGACCTATGATTTACCTCTAACTAACAGATTAGATGAAAAATAAAAGGATTTTGCAGATGTAAGTTTGGTCCTAAATCAGTTGACTTGGAGTTCATCAAAAGGGAGCTGTGGGCAGCCTCTAGTAGCCAATAGCCAGCAAAAAAATACCAGGCCTTCAGTCATAGAGCCACCAGGAAATGAATTATGACAACATTGTGACTGAGCTTGAAAGCAGTTTATGTCCCCCCAGCCAAGCTTCCAGAGAAGAGTGCTCCTTTGCCAAAACCATGATTGCAGCTTGTGGAACCCTGAGCAGAGCACCCAGCTAAACTGTGCCAGGACTCCAGACCCTCAGACACTGTTCTCCAGGCTACAGTTATCTCTTCCATGAATGATTTGCCATTAGCTTTTTATGCTGTGGATTTAATTTAGTTACCTATAATACTGTTCCTTTCTCTGTTTGGCAAATTCCTACTCTTCTTTCACAGTTGCTTCTTTCCAGAGGTTGTCCCTAACTCCCCTCCTTTCAAGCAAAATGAAGCCCCTCTCATCTGATTTTCCAAAGATGCTGCTATCCTTCTTAACAATTGCCAACAGTGTATTACAGGTATATTTATAGCAGATTGCATGTTCCATGGGGGAGGAGTAATCATCTTTGTGACCTAGTGCCTAGTGTAGAAACATGCTAAAAAAGTTCAGTATATGTTTAGTGACTTAAATGAAAGGCAGTAAAGAATCACAGTAAGACAGAGTGCACAAAAACCTATAGGTTACCTAGTCGGACTTCTAAATGTTGTTTTGCCTAGCTAAGTACCTTTAGGTTGTATCTTTCTAATTTTATAAGTAATATAACTTCCCCCCTTTATTAGAGTAGAAAAACAAGACTGGAGAAGTAAGATTTATAAACACTTTTTTAAAAATATATTTTATTGATTTTTTACAGAGAGGAAGGAAGAGGGACAGAGAGTTAGAAACATAGATGAGAGAGAAACATCGATCAGCTGCCTCCTGCACACTCCCCACTGGGGATGTGCCCGCAACCAAGGTACATGCCCTTGACCAGAATCGAACCTGGGACCCTTCAGTCTGCAGGCCAACGCTTTATCCACTGAGCCAAACCGGTTAGGGCAAGATTTATACACCTTTAAGCAGCAGAGTTAAATTTTGAAAAAAGCTAGTAATTTTAGATTCAATCCTTTCTATTATAATAACACTATTATAACAAGACTAATCTAGTAGGCATCTTAGTTTCATAATGTTACAGAAATAAATATTTTGTATGAAAAATCTTATTCCATAAAGAAATTTCAGCCCTGGCTGATATGGCTCAGTTGGTTGAGCATCATCCAGTGCTGGTTCAATTCCCAGTCAGTGCACATACCCAGGTTGAAGGTTTGATCTCAGGTTGGGGTGTATATGGGAGGCAGCCAATTAATGTCTCTTACATTGATGTTTCTCTCCTCTCCTCACCTCTCCTCTCCTCTCCCTTCATCTCTCTCTAAAATCAATAAAAACATATTTTTTTAAAATAAATTTCAGTTTTAAAAATTACTCTCTAAGTATTAATCATATAAAGGGTAATTTCAGAATCACATACCTGTGGCCACAGGAATAGAGAAGAATGCAGGAAATTTAGTCAGTCTTGTGAATATAATAAGATTATTTTGACAAAACAAGGTAAACATAAAGGTTTAAGGAGTATATTGTATGATGTTATCCTTTTCTAAGTTAAACATGCAAATGAAAACCTATTTATTTACCTTAAAGATTCAGATAATGGTGTTAAAGTGCCATCTCCCCTATCTACTACACGAAAGAAATTCAACTGCTCTCCTTCTCGGTATACCAAAAATGTAACTTGTTTGTTGTAGGAGGTCTTCTCCCAGACCTCGTCTTGACTGGAATCCATGTACTCAGCCATCTCCCTAAATGGGTCTTCCATAGGAACTACAAATGGAAAAATTGATAAACAAGCTTTCAATTTATATCAAGTTTTATGAATCTTGGTACAGTGACAGAACATAATATTATGAATTTGAACAACACTGTGCATACTATATATTATATATATTATATATAGTATTCCTCAAAAAGTTTCTGGTCTTTTATAGTTAATACAGCACTCCCTATGTTGTATTAATATGAAATAAATGAAATGCATTATTGTGTTGTTAGGTATAAAGATACACAAGGTTTTTCCTATACCACTAGTCTGTATAGTTGCTGAGTCTATGACATAATTATCTATGATTGCTTTCACTTGACACCTCTGCTTCCTATATTTTCCAATATTGGTTCCATCAACCAACAATTAAAAGCAATATAAATCCCACTTACTTTATATTAAAAAATAAACACACACATAATTAGGAGACATATTAGAAGTGAGAAGCAGCTGAATCCTTCTTTCTCGTTTTATATAGAGGCTGAGTCCTCATAGAGCTATTTCTTGATGTGCAGTGAGGTAATTAAAAGTACACAGTAGGCCCTAACCGGTTTTGCTCAGTGGATAGAGCATCAGCCTGCAGACTGATGGGTCCCAGGTTCAATTCCGGTCAAGGGCATGTACCTTGGTTGCGGGCACATCCCCAGTAGGGGGTGTGCAGGAGGCAGCCAATCGATGTTTCTCTCTCATCTATGTTTCTAACTCTCTATCCTTCTCCCTTCCTCTCTGTAAAAAATCAATAAAATATATATTTTTTAAAAGTACCCAGTAATTCAGAATCAAGGGGGCCATCTTAAGTACTGACACCGCAATGTGTATAACGGTCAGAATGTTGTTTATTAAAAGCATCTTCCCAGGAGCCAAGTTGTTCTTGAATAGAATACATCCATGTGCCCAGGCAGAGCACAGGATTGGGGCAAAGCCCTCACTACTGATGGGCTCTAGAAGACAAAGATGTCCTCAGGTTTGAATGATATTACAACCTGCTCTTGTCCACAGCAGCCGCGGATTCTGCTCCTGTGGTGGGAATTGGCCTGAAGAGATTGCTGGCTCATAGGGTGAGTGTTCTAAAAACCCCTGAACTCCACACTTGGGTGTCTAAGTAATGGTTACAGGAAATAAAATAGTTCCTAAAGACATTCTCATGATAAGTTAAAGAAACATTTGCTCTTTCCTAAAAGAAGCAATAATTTCTCAAACTCCATAACTCTCATTCAAGTAGCTTACTTATTACCAGAGTCACAGTGCTGCACTATTCTTTTAAAAAATTATAAGAAAAGTTGAACTCTGAAAGTAACAAGGTAAAAACATTAAAGATGTTCTCATATCCTAAATTCAATATCACCACTACTAAAACACAAAAACTTTAGAAATATAATAGGATTTAGATTATTTTATAAAAATGTTTGGGTCCTGGCCAGTGTAGCTCAGTAGTTGAGCATTGACCTATCAACCAGGAGGTCACAATTTGGTTCACAGGCAGAACATATGCCATGGTTGTGGGCTCGACCCCCAGTGTGGGCTGTGCAGGAGGCAGCTGATCAATGATTCTCTCTCATCATTGATGTTTCTATCTCTTCATCCCTCTACCTTCCTATCTGAAATCAATAAAAATAGTTTTTAAATGTTCAGATGTTTTGATTGACTCATAGACACAAAATGCATAAATATTAAAAGACATTTTTAAAACAAGTTCTTGCCAGTTTTAAGTTAATGATATATTTTCCACATTATGTTCATGAGAAATAAAAACCTATGCTAATGTCATTACTAATGCCACATGAAAGCCTTACTTAAATCAACATAGTGTGCCTTTCTTAGGGAGGCACTGGGATTTAATATGCTTATACACACATATATATATATGTCCACACATTTTCATAACAGAAAAATCACTTAGATTATATCAGGTATAAAACATTGTATATATAGTTTAAGATAAAATTTAGTTTTAGGAAAGAAAGTATTTTCTATGTTGTTTTAATAAGGGTTCATTTAAAAAAAATTTTAAGCTAAATATTACTTACTGGAACTCAGATGATAAAGGTACTTTCTAAACCATAAGTTTTAAATAAGACTAAACAGCTAAAAAATAAAACATGGTTTCTCAAATACCATATGGAGAAGTTTTATATCTGGGTTCACAAAAACTTTAATGATGTAAGGTAGACAACATCAAGCTTTTAATTTTAAAAACGTTGATTTGATAAAGGCAAAATTATTAAAAACTTAACTTAAAATATTAAAAAACATAATTTCTAAGTGCTGATTTTTCAATTTACAAATAAGGCACAAAATGTTGTAGGGAGAGAAGGTATATTACAAAGCTTCAACTACCAAAGGGTGGTGATGCATTTCATTTTAAATTTTTTAAGTTTTAAAAATACATATATTTCTATCTCAGAATCTGTAGCACTTACACTCCTCCTCATAAACATAAAACAATTTTAATCTGAGTAAGAAAAATAGGTGTTCTGATTAAAACCCTGGTTTAAAGAAAATAGTATACACAAATAACCAACTTTCAAAAATATAATACAATGGAGTTCACATGTCATTAAACACTGTATAATTCTATCTTACAATAATGACCCAGGAAATGCTTTAGGGTCTTGCAATACCCTCAGAATCGGTACTATAGACATCAACTATGTCACATATGAGAATTTCATGTTAATAGACAGCCCCTAATATTAGGAGTGCTAATTAATCAGCTCTAACCTTATTTTCATCTTTTATAAGTTATCCAAAAATAATTAAACAGCAAAAAGAACATATCTCTCAAAATCCTCTTGAAGTAGTTTGGAATAAGATGGTAATACCTTTATTTTTTAACTAAAATTTGAAGCATGGGGATAAAATTTGACTTGTGGAAGAAATAAGCCAGCAGTGGACTCAATACTTAATTCAGTTTTCTGATGAAAGAAGGCTGTATTAATACAGGCTTCATTATAACAACTATGAACTCCTTCCCCAAAATGAGGACTGCTCTAAGCAGTCTCTGGGAGCCTCTATCTGGTGGCATACCTGAATCAGGGACCAATGTAAACACTCCCAATTCTCCCCATGCTTAGAACTTTCTCATTGATCAAGTCTCCGCTCACATCATCTTCTCCCAGGGCCCTTCCCCAATCATCCTCCTATCACCCTGCCTCCACGGCCTCTATCATACTACCGTTTCCTCCACAGCATTTATGACTGCTTAAAATGACATCCATTCCTAACACACTTACTGTGGGGACCTTCATGAATTAGGGACATTTTCTCCCATAAAATATTGCACTGAACATCTAGTAGATGCTCAAAATGTATTTGTTGAATGAATGAATGAATGAATGAATGAATGAATGAACAAACGAATAAATAAACTCCCAGGGACTGCCCACATTCTGAAAAAGGATTCAACAGGGCCATGATAATATCCATGACACCCAAATACATCATAGACAAGGCTAACAGATATCCAAGAAGTTTCTACAAAAATCTTTACTTCAGGCCCACCTGGTGTGGCTTAGTGATTGAGTGTTGTCCCAGAAACCAGGAGGTCACAGTTTGATTCCCCATCAGGGCACATGCCCAGGTTGTGGGCTCGGTCCCCAGTAGGGGGCATGCAGGAGGCAGCCAATCAATAATTCTCATCATTGATGTTTATATATTATCTCTCTCCCTCTCCCTTCCTCTCTGAAATCAATTAAAAATATATATTTTTTAAAAACATTACTCCAGGAATTAAAGAATCAGTGGATAAAAACAAACAAGACTGGAATGAACCTAATCACAATAACAACATATTTGTATTATGCCATTCCATTTCCCTTCCCTATATTGATGAGGTTTATTTTTAGTTATTTATTTTTTAAATATATTTTTACTGATTTCAGAAAAAGAAAGAAACATTAATGATGAGAGAGAATCATCTATCAGCCACCTCCTGCACCACCCTATTGGGAATCAAGCCTGCAACCTGGGCACATGCCCTTAACCGGAATCAAACCTGGGACCCTTCAGTCCGCAGCCAACGCTCTATCCACTGAGCCAAACCAGCCAGGACGATGAGGTTTATTTTTAAATCTCACTGGATGGAATCATGAATCATTAGACTTTCTAGTATATGAGTTCCTGCCACTGTTCATTTAGGCTTTAAAGAACAATGCCTATAAGAACAAATGTGTTTCTTCTAAACCTGGGAGCAGAAAGAGGACCTTACTACAAAACATAAAAACACCAACTGGCTTAAAGATTGTTATTGTGGAAGTGCTTAACATACATAATTTTAACATATGCTTACCTCTTCTAGTATTTATAGGTCCACCACGCATAGCCAGTACCAGCTTCAAGGTACAGCCTTCTGAAATGCTGTGGATAATTAATAAAAAAATAAACTACAATCACCAAAATACACTCACTGTTAAATATGTACATAATTATTGCTGCTTTACCAGGCATAGTGCCTGTCCTCTAAAAATAGATATAGCAATTTGCATAAATATAAAATGTTAATTTATTTACTTCTTAAATAATGAAAAAGTGAAGAAGTTTTCATAATCCTTAAATATGACATTAAATTTCAGAATAAAAGTATTGGAAAGGATCTGTGACCATGTGGTTTAACCTCTTCATTTTACATGTAAGGAAAAAGAGGCCCTAAGAAAAAGAGATTCTTATTCAAGACCGAAAGTATTAGAAAATAGCAGATATGTTTAGTAAAATAGGAAACAGAAAAACAGCAAATCTACAAGGTCTCCCAGTGCTCTTTCAGCTATTCCATATTGCCTTTTTGCTCTTTTCTTAAGAGTGAAGATTTATAGGAGGGGAAAAAGGCAAAATGTCAGACAGTATATCTGCAATTATTGGTACGCACAGTCCCACTTAGTAATGGAAGAAGTCCTTAATGGAAAATGAAAGACTTGGTGAAGAGGAATACTCTCTCATTCAATACTTGTGAAAATGGAAAGAAAAGGAACCTAGTCAGGTGAGAATTGGGTCAATATTCAAAGAAAAAGCAAAGAATGCAAGATCAGAAGAGAAAGATCTAAAAAGGAAGGAGATTAATAGCTTAGAGCAGTGGTTCTCAACCTTCCTAACACCGCGGCCTTTAAT